AGAGAGAGAGAGAGAGAGAGAGAGAGAGAGAGAGAGAGGGGGGGGGGGGGGGAGAGATCCTGTGGCCTATTATACACTCTCCATAAGATAGTCCAGAGTCCCAGATCCAAGGTCAGCAAAAGCTGGTGTGAAGGAACTGGACAAGCTGCTTCTCCAAGGTTGAAAAATCAACCTTGGAGAGAAGATATGGAGGGGGAGAAGGGAGAGGGGAGCAGCCAGCTCACCAGATATCCACAACCTTCCCTCCCCTTCTGAAGCACATCAGCTAGATGTTCAAAACTGGCTGTCTCACGGAACTGAACAGCAGGATGGGTGGGGAGGTGAACAGTGCTTCCCACATTCTCCCTCTCCAAGTTCAGATACATACATTGAGGACGGAACAAGCAGGACTGAGCCCTGAGATGCTTAGGATTCTGCATCCCACCTCAAGAACAAACCCACACGCTTGGGCCAACCACACTCCCCAGAAGACAGCTCAGTCCTGCTCCGTCTCTTGATTTAATTGTGCATTTGTTACAGATTTCGGCACAGACTGCCTGCCAGCAAGAAATAATGGCGGGGGACGGTTGATGCCACAAACCTGACATTCGCGAAAGTAACAATTGCTCTTGAATGCAACCTTGGCTAAGTCAGAGAGATCCTCTGCCTATAAATGTGTGGATTATAATGCATTTTTATTAGAATTCCAAGGTAAACTAGCCTTTTAAGAGGAACATGCAGCTTCCATACAAGTTAGTTTATTGCCATGGTAAATTTCAAAAAGATCAGACAGACATATTTATAACCCTGTTCCAGCCGCTCACTTCAATTTGCACAGAGCCAAGGTGAGCTGCCTTGAAACTTGTGAAATCTGACATCCACCTTTGAGAAAGAAGAGAAAGGAAAAGCTCTAATGTTGGCTGTTGTGCTTGGTGTTTAAAGGAGATGCGTGTTAACGGCCACGCACCAACAGTGCCCTGAGAGGTAGGAAATGGCACTGCAGCCAATTCAGGACACCCACCAGCTGAATCGTCCAAGTGGCTTCCATGCCCAATTCTAAGCCCTGAGCCAATCTTGACAGTCCTAAACACCACTGGGCCAGGTTTCCGTCACAAAGGGCAAGATCAGGCCACTAGAAAGCTTTTCCCATCTTCCCCTTGCCCTACCTGGCCAGCTGAGTCCAGGTGTAGCTGCTTTTTGGCAGCAAAGGAAAGATCACAGGTTTTTCAGCCAGAAAGTCTGTGGTGTTTATAAACTTTACGAAGGCTTTTGGAGTTTAAAGATCCACGAAACTCTCTTGAACTTTGTTGCATTGCTCTTATGCTCTGCTGGCTCTAAGCTGTACTGGGTGATCTTGCACTCAGGTGCCATGCTCATATTCTGCATTTAAGGTGCAATCCAGTGCAAGTTTCGACAGGGAAAAAAAAACCTTCAACGGGTTGCTTGTGCTGTTGAGCCTAAGTCAAGACGCTGGTTGCAAACTCTGAAATCCCACACGGCTTGGGGCTGTGATAGTCGATGAAATCCCTTTCCTAAATACAAACTACCTGGATATGATGCTCTACCTAAGAGGCTTTCCTCTGAGTCCCATCTCCAAGCGAAGCTCAGAGGGTAGCAATATGGGAAAGGGCCTTTTCTGTGCTGGCCCCCAAATTCTGGAACCATCACCCATCATTCCACTGAAGCCTGACTGGTACCGTCTCTGCTATTCTTTCAGCAGCAATTTAAGACTTCCCACTGTGCTGAGGCATTTAACAACTCTCAGGCAGCAGATGGTGTGGAAGAGGTTACATCTAGTCGTAGGCTTAACTGGTTTCACTTGAATTGGTAAAGTAATTCAAAATTTGGTTTACAGGTCTCTGTACTGATTTTTAAAATTCTTGCAGTTGTATTTATTTATTTATTTGTTTGTTTATTTAGAGAACTTCTATGCCGCCCCATTCGCTCTGTACTGATTTTTAAAATTCTTGCAGTTGTATGTATGTATGTATGTGTGTATGTATGTATGTATTTATTTAGGGAACTTCTATGCTGCCCCATTCGCCGAAGCCTTGGTGTGGCTCACAAACATAAATAAATAACATCCTATAAAACAATATAATTTAACAGTATAAATTAAGTCGCCCTGGCCAAAGAATAAAATAAATAAATAATATTAACAATTAAAATAACGTTTAAATAAAAAGGTTTAAATTTTTATTGTGCATGGCCTTTTATTACGTAAGCACCAGTGTGGTGCGGGAATGCACTGGGGAATCGAAGTGATCTGGGTTCTCATTTCCCACCTGGCCATTAACTTTCTTGAGTGACTTTGGGCCAATCAGACTCTCGGCACAACCTACCTCACAGTGGTGGTGGTGGTGGTGTTGTTGTGAGCATAAAATGGAGCTTTGTCAAGCTCCGAGTTCCTCACGAGAGGAAAAGGGCCAGAAATACTTAGCCTATCCCCTCCAAATCACAAAGGTTCAGCACATCTGGCTGCAAAGAAATACATGATTTTATGCAAATAAATGCATAAAAGCTAATGCTATACTGTGTTGCATTAAGAGAAGAATAACTTTCGGGGCTGGTTCCCCTCTATTTGGCACTAGTTGGACCTCATCTAGAGTACTGGGCACCGCACTTCAAGAAAGATGCAGACAGACTGGGAAAACGTTCAGAGGAGGGCAACGAAGTTGATCATGGGAGTGGAAACCAAGCCCTCTGAGGAGGGATCGAAAGAGCTGGGCATGGTCAGCCTGGAGAAGAGGAGACTGAGGGGAGATCGGATAACACTCTCCAAGGACTTGAAAGACTAGATCCTTCTCCATCATCCCAAAGTACAGGACCCAAAATAACAGACTGGTGCCACAGGCAACCAGATTCCAGTTAGATATCAGGAAAAAGCTCTTGACTGGAAGAGCTGTACTGCAATGGAACCAAAAGCCTAAGGGGCTGGTGGGCCCTCCCACACTGGAGGCATTCAAGATGCAGCTGGACAGCCACCCGAGAGGGATGGTTGAACTGGGAGTCCAGCACTGAGCAGGGGGCTGGACATGATGGCCCCTTCCAGCTCTACTCCTCTATGATCCTGTGGCAAGAGCCCATAGTTTCGTAGCCAGCCAAAATCTGTGCTCAGTGGAGAGGATGAAGAGGGTCAGCCTCCGCTGCCACACAGGATTTCAGTGAGCTTCCATGGCCCAGTGCAACTTGCTGAAATGAGACTCCAGCGCTTCTCCCCGCTTGGGAGTCAAAGAGGAAGGAGGTCTTCCCAGTGAATACACCCAAAGGATGCTCTTTGCCCTGATGTACCTGGCTGGACCCAAAGACCATCTTCTGTGGTCCTTCTCTGGGAGATGGGAGGGGGCTAAGGAGTGCCTGTTTTGTTCTGGCACCCCCTGTTGTGAATTGAGCTCCCCGCAGAGGGAAGCAGTGCCCTTCCCAGCGACAGATGAAGACCTCCTTTTTCTAGATGTTTTAGTCTCACAGTTTCTGTAATTGTAAATCTGTCCCTGCATTTTAAATCTTTGCACTGGTGCTATCTTTTAGCATGGGTTTTATTTTACAGTGCAATGCTAAGCTTCAAAATCTTCACATTGCATTTTACTGTGTTCTGTTTTATGCATTTAATTGTTGGGAACTGCCTGGAGAAATTGGGCTATTAGGCAATAGAGAAATGTAATAAACCAACTAATAAATATCTTATTTCTTTCCAAGTCTCCAAGGTCTAGCAGGAGGTTACTTTGCAATTTTCCGTTTTCTGCCCTGATCGTTGTACCTGAAAGCTGTGTCTGTCCACCACCCCACCAAACCCTGAAGTAATCCCAACTAAAGTTACACCCCACACATGGACAGTGGAAGAACGCAGCGCAACACAGGCCCCGAGTATGGTCTGAAGGCACAGAAGGCACCCCCCATGTTGAAGCTAAGCAGGTCTTAAGCTGGCCTGAGCTTGGAGGGGAGACCACCTGGGAACTGCCTGTAGCCACCTTGAGTTCCACAATGGGATAAAGGTGGGGTAAAAATACACTAAATTAATGGATATAATATTGAGTTACAGAAATTGCAAAAGCTATGGGAAAGAAATATCAAGATAACCCTAGCATCTTCATATAAAGAAAACCTTTATAAAATGTTTTACAGATGGTATCTATCACCAAATAGATTAGCAGAAATGTTTCCAAATTTGTCAAATAGATGTTGGAAATGTAAACACAAACCTGGTACTTTCTATCATTTGTGGTGAACTTGTGTTAAGGCAAACAAATCCTGGGTTAACATACACAAATGGCTTGAGGAAATGCTGCCCAAACTATTAACATTTAAACCTAAAGTCTTTCTATTAGGTATTATTCCTGATAATCTCAATAAACAAGCTATATATTTGACTTTACATATAATTACTGTGGTGAGGATTGCATTTGCCCAACATTGGAGAAGCGAAAAGCCACCTACTGAAGAGCTGATTTAAAAAAGATTTTGATTGCATGGAGATGGACAGATCGACCTTATCTTTGAAGGCGAATACATGCTTCTATCAAACTTGGAATATTTTCTATCATTGGTTACAGAAACGGGACTATGCATAGAACTGAATATGGCTGTTGAATGCAAAAAAAAGAGTGAGATGTCAACTCAGTATGTCCAATGTCCTGAATAACTGTTGTTTTAAGTTTTGAATTTATGGAGAAAATAATAGCCTATGGAATGCGCTCCCCAGCGAGGTCCGCCTGGCGCCGTCGTTATTTGTTTTTCACACCAGGTTAAGACCTCTTTATTCCAACAATATTTTAATAACTTTTAATATTGGATTATTTATGTTTTTAACTGCAGCCAGTGTGGATCTGTAATTCATTTGTGTTATGTTTTATATTATTTTATGTATGTAAGCCGTCCTGAGGCCTTCGCGACAGGACGGCATATAAATATTCTAAATAAATAAATAAATAAATAAATAATAAAACTTGACTAAATATAATGCATTAATGAACAAATACTGCAGATGAGCAACACCAGAAAGAAAGCCAGGAATTCCCTTTCACCTTGGCTAGTCGGCTCATCTGATCTTCCGAAACGGTGCTGCTAGTCCTGCCAGGCGTTTTGGTGGGCTCCGAGCCGTCTGCCTCCATGTTGGGCCAGACTTTCAGATCATGCATCCCTTGGCGAAACATCCTACAAGAGAAGGACAGACTGGGGAACTGCCATGCTGGCATGGACCAAACGCTCACAGACAGAAAGACCAGCACGGTGCTCAATGGAATCCCACCCCCATCGCTTCGGCAGGCACGCTGTCTGGGGCGACGCACACACATCCCCTTCTAATAATGGGGGCGCCCACCCAGGTCTCCCTTCTCTTTCAGTGCGCCATTCTGTGACCCTGGGAACGCCCAACCGTAACTCAGCCTCACGCCCCACAGATGCTGGGTTGGACTGCGATTCTCAAAACACCCCAGCCTGGCAATGTGGCCCAGTACATCTGCAGGATATCAGGCTGGGGAAGGCTGTGTCCTGGGGATCGGGGCCTATGGACAACAATGGCAAGTAAATGCACCTTGGAAGGCCAGCACCAGGATCCTGCTGCACCATAGCTTTGTCTAAACCCTGGGTGAACAGGAGGCCAGATTGGAGGCCATTCTCAAGTTTGCAGATGTCCTTCTGACTTTACATTTCCTAGTTTGAACTGCTGAGGACAAGAAGAAAAGAAAGAGAAGGAAAATCAAATCACCACCTACCCGTATTTCCCAAAGAGTGAGACCGTCGTTCCCCCAACGGGCACTGCTTTGCCAGGTCCATAAATGTCCCAGATTGTCAAGGCCACCTGGGCATTCCGTGGCAAGTCCGGATATTTGACCGGCAGTTTTAACCACTCATTCCAGCTGAGGACAGAGAACTGCCATTAGATTAGGTCTGTATCCATTTTTATATCCTTCAAGGCCCTGTAAGATCAAGCCAGGGCAGCAAATGTTTGACTTCGCCAACCAAAGCCCATGCAGCCGGGGGTCAGACTAGATGCCCAGGAGGTCCCTTCTGACTCGCTCTGTTTCTATCATCCCTGACCACTAGGACTGATAGGACTGGCAGTCCAAAAATCTGGAGAGATTCAAGCTGGAAGAGGGTGTTGGGGTGCTTTTCTCCTGGACGTTCAAAAACCTTTCCAACCTACACATGTGCAAAAAGATCAGCACACGGGGAAAACTGCAGGGTTTCTACACAGGCAGACTGTCACTACTACTCCCCCCCACCCCAAAGCCAAATATGATGAAAAGGATCGAAAATAAAACCACCCAGCAAGTAACTGCCACCTTATAGAAATGGATGATGCTTTCATATCTGGAACACAGTTCTGCCTACAGTCACTCACGTTCCAGAGCTATGCTGAGCAGAAGCCAAAGAAGTTGAGCAGAAGTTCAGAAATCTGCCCTCTCAGGAATAAATAACACATCTGGGCCTTTTAGTTTAGGAGAAGGAGGAAACGAAGACAAAGGAAGACACGAAAAACATTCATCAAGTGTTCCATGGTGTGGAAAACTGGGATAGGAAGCAGTTCTCTCTCTTTTAATGCTGGGACTCAGAGTCACCCAACAAATCCATAAGCAGCATTTTGGGCCTCCAGAAAGCCTATTTCTCCCCAGTGGACAACAGTCGGCAGCCCAAAGCCTTTAAAAGGGAATTAGATGAGGGCACAAGTTAAGGGTCTCGCAGGGGCCACAGGGAACAATTTTATAAAATATATTTGTTCAGAAGGTCCATATTCTGCCTGCCTGCAAAACTCTTGGGCCAATTTTCTAAACAATCAACAAAAAATTAAGACACAAATACACACGAGGATAAAATATTTGTCTGTCCTTCCACAGGTAACCAGGCTGGTCCCGTGGGAGCCAACACTAAGACGTCTCCATCTCTCAGGGTACCATGTATCCTGTTTCAGGGAAGGGGCATGTTAATGTACAGGAAGGCTTGTACAGGAACAGGCAGACCTCCATGGCCAGTTATGACAGCTATATTCATTCTCCAGACATCCAGGACAGTGTGCCAAGGGTGCAGAGCATTATTTCGGTGTGGGCTGGATGGCTGTCGCCAAGGTCCTCCCCGGATGACAATGGTAGGCAAGATCACATCCACGGAGGTCTTTTCTCCCATCTCCCAGGCATTCTAGCCATCTTCCTCCTGGGAGAGCCAGGGCCTTCTGTGTCTTTCCCAGCACCAAGAAAAAGATTTGGTCAGAGGTGGAGGGGAACCCAACCCCCCCTGCATCATCCTTGCTGGGGCCCACACTACAGGAACAGAATGCAAGACCAGAAAGACCTTCGGTCTCATCCCACGGGGCTCCTCTTATGTCCTAAAGCGTCAACCTATCCAGTACTGGGTGAAGACCTCCTAATTTATTTTCCCAGTGTCTGGGATCTCCCACAAGTGGCCTGCCCAGAAACAGGGTCATGAACCATCCAAACTTTGAGGACAGCCACTCACTTCCACCGGGTGCTGAACGCTTTGTAGGACGTCCGAACAGGAAGGGCAAGGGGTTTTCCTTCTGCGAACACCTGGCAGGTGACATACAAGTCGGAGCAGGTTTCCTGGTAGAGTCCTGAGAACCGCAGCATGGGATTTTCCAGCACTGCCTTGTAGCTCTTCTGCTCTCTTTTCCCTTCCAAGCTCCCGCTAAAGAAGCAGGGTAGACAAAAAGGGTTTTACACGCGTCCCGCCAAAAAAAGGCATCAAAGATAAAACTGCTATTACGGGGATGCAACTCTAGGTATGTTTAGATGGTAAACACCCTGCTTTCCTGATGGCACTGCTCCTCACTTACGCAGGAGCATGGGAGTTCAGGATCACCCTTTTTTCTCTGCTGGGGGACTATCATAATTCCCCAAGCTTTCCCCACCAGGCCCATCCCACATGATTTGGAGCATAGCTCCCATCCTCCCCGGCCACCCGCTCTGCTGGGGATGATGGAACCTGCAGTGTGCAATCCCTCCTGGAGCGCGCCAACTTGGGGGGCGGGCGGGGTAGGAATATATGGAAAGAGGAAGGGAGGGGAGGGGGCCCAGCCAGAAAATCCCCACCAGAGAGCCCCCGGAGGCTCCAGACGCATGGATGGGGTGCGCTGGATCGTTGCCCCCGTGCAAGCCCGCAAGGCGCCGAGCGGGCACGCGGGCACGCGCCGCCCCGTGCACGCGCGCGCCCCTCCCCCCAGCCCACTCACATCTTGAGCTGCACATTAATGTCCAGGTCGCAGCTGTACACATAGCAGAACTTCTCCGCTTCGCCCATGGCGGCGGGTGCAGGCACCTCCCTCCTCGCTCGCCCTTCCGTCCCCGACAGCTGATGCCTGCCCGGGCGCCCCTCCCACCGCGCGCCCCCCGTCATCCAATCAGCCGGCGCCTCGCCCCGGCCGGCCGTCTGATTGGGCCAGGCGCGTCCTAGGCCGCCATCGTTTTGAAGGGCAAGGGGGCTCCGCTGCGCTGCTTCGGAAGCTGCCTTCCCTCCGCGGCACGGGAGGGCTCCCGCAAGTCTTCCCTACACAAAGATGGCGGGCGCCGTGGGCCGGGAAGAACAGTATGGCTGCGCCCACGTAACGGAATGAAAGCCAACATGGCAGCCCGCAGAGAGCTCCTTCCGTGCAATCAATCAGAAGCCGGCGAAGAGGCGAGAATGAAGATGATTGGTCAGCGCAAAAATAAGCGACGAGCCCCGGCTTTCAACGGAGGGGGCGGGGGCGAGCGAGACCACCATCCCTGATGCAGCGCCCCTCCCGGCCCGGCGTGCTAGGCTTTGTAGTCCCACCCTTCTTCCTCGGCAGGTTAGGCGAAGTTGCACATAAATCTTTTCCAGCGCCTTTAGGGAGCAGAGGGGAGGTTAGGATATTTTCTGGGTTTTTTATATTGCATTTTACGACGTATCCCAGGGAGTTTTGCCTTTTTATTTAAATATTCAAATACCGAAAATATGCATGCAATGTTTAACAGTACTTAGGCTGCAATGGTGTGAGCGATCGAGGAAGGCGAGGCTGCCTTTGCTTTCCTTAATGCCCTCCTCATTACAGAATAGACGAAATGAAAGGGGCCAAGAAGGCCATCGGGTCCAACCCCAGCTGTTGCAGGAGGGCTGTCCAGTTTTGCACTGAAAGGTTATTTTATCTATTTATTTATTGAGAGCTTTTCTATCCTGTCTCAGGACAGACTGAAAATAAAGTGCAGCATCACATCTTCTATAAAGCGCCAATTAAAATAACAAACCATAAAACATTGATAAAATAAAAAGGTCTTGGACTGGTGTCAAGAAGAATAAAGTGTCAGTGCCAGGCAAACCCTGGATCAATTTCATTTCCCTCCACTGGACCCTTTCTAATGTACCTGTATCTTTCTTAAATCTTGGTGCCCAGAACTGTACACAATATTCCAGGTGAGGTCTGACTAGTGAGGAGTATAGAGGAACTACAACTTCTCATCATCTGGAAGTAATACTTCTGTTAATGCATCCCAAAACAGCATTTGCCCTTTTGGCAGCTGCATCATATTGTCGGCTCATGTTTAGCCTATTGTCCACAATTACTCCGAGATGTTTGTCTTTTTCAGTTCTGCTGAGCCACGTATTCCCCATCTTGTACCGATGCCTTTGGTTTCTTTTTCCTAAATGGAGAACTTGGCACTTGTCCTTACTGATTCTTGTTCTGTTGCTTTGAGCCCAGCATTCAAGTTTATCAAGATCACCCTGAATCTTCTTTCTGTCTTCCAGGGTGTTTGCTGTTCCATCCAGTTTTGTATTATCTGCAAATCTGATTATCTTTCCTTGTACTTCCTCCTCTAAATCAGTAATAAAGATGTTGGAAAGCACAGGGCTCAGGACTTAATCATGTCCATGCAGAGAAGTCTGCTGGTTTTATGGAGCTCTTATCCCTTGCAATATTCTTAGTGTATAAATTTTTATATGATTTTGTTTGTTTTTGTTTTTGTTGTGAGCCGCCCCGAGGCTTTGTTGCGATGGGGGCAGCATAGAAATGTTTTAAATAAATAAATAAATAAAATATATTTTTTTTATTCTGAGCTTCACAGGAGCTGCCCATGTGGTGAACCTCATGGGCGGGAAGACCTATTGGAACCTATTTCAGGCTCACAGATAGAGCCTATAAAATAATCCAGGATACAACTCACAATGGATAAAAAGTCCCTCTGCCATAGGAATCACTTGTCCCCAAGCCAAGTCCCACAGGGTGGGGCTTACTTGTGAGCAGACAGTTCTTTTCATTTGAGGATTGAATTCTAAGAACTTTTAAAGAGTGCAATCCTGCATATGTTTAGTCAGGAAAACAATACCACAACTCACTCCATTGCTTAGCCATATTTTTTGTGTGCAAACAAGCAAAGGATTTCTTCCAAATATGGTCTGCATTTCTCATTAAATGTTGTACTATATGCATATTTAGAAATATTGAGATTCTCCTACATGTTAGGTCTTGTGCTTTGTGCGGCTGCATGGCTATAGAGCAGTGTGGTACAATGGTTAGAGGGCTAGACTGGGGAGATCCAGTTTCCAGCCTCCATTCAGCCATTTGACACTTGGCCTTGAAGCTCGCTGGGTTACTCTAGGGCAGTCCTGGACTCTCAGACTAACCTACTCCACAAGATCATTGTGAGGGTAAGCTGGGGAAGAGGACCATCGGTATGTCTCTCTGATTCTTTGCAAGAGAGAGAGATTGAGAGAGAGAGAATCACAGTATACATATGTTAATAACAGAGAGAAATCCAGGAAGTCTTTTGCTCAGTACTGCAATAGACAAAAGGAAGGGAAGTTCATAACGCAAGAAAAGCCCCGCTCGATCAGAGTCGAGTTCCATCACCACCCTTCTGTATTCCACAGAGACCTCCAACTCCATTTCCACCACTTAGCGGATATCTCATTCAGAATTTTACAGGTCCATCCCGCATGCTTTTATTCCACCCAGCTGCAAAAACAAGAATATAAGAAGCCAGAGCAAGCAAGCAAGAAAGAAAGATCTGTCTCCAGTCTTTCTGCTTTTGCATGTACCACAGAACCCATCAAGAAGGCTAACAACAGCACATCCAAAGAACAGATGCACAAGTCAGGAGTAGGAGTCTAATCTAAGTATCTGGTAATGCCAATCATGATACTGCCATTTCTTTCTTTTCTTCGTGGGAAGGTTTAAAATGTTTTCTTTGCCATCTCAAAGAAAAGAGAAGGGAAGGCAAACAAGATTTTTCCTGGATATGTTATTATTCCAGTGTCAGGACATTTAGCTGTCTCTTGTCTGTTGATAGGTGAACACTGATGCTAAGGTCAGAATGCCTCTGAGCATGTGTAGAGTAATGTCCTTAAAGACTGACCCCTCAGAAATTTTTCACATGCTCTTAGCTTCACTTTGAAAACACATCCCTACAGTTTCTCTCTCTTTGTGCTTCTAGAATGTACATTGTTCACTTCCTTACTGTTGGAGTCATTCATTTTCAGCTTCTATCACGTTTAATAATCTGTGAATGTAATTAAGGAGAAGAATCAGTTTAAAATTACTGTTTCAAACATTTGATCTAAATGCAAACTCACTTGCTTCTTTTTGTGAAGTCAAATATTAGTATTCCTCAAGGTAAGTATTATGCAACCCATTAATGGATGTTACACTTCTCTAACGAAACAATTAATGCATTCCAAGATGGCCAAATATTGTACAAACCAGTAGTCAGAGATTACACTACCCAATAAAGAAGAGCTACTTCACTGAACACTGTACCTTCTTATTGTTAAATACTGCTCAACTGTAAGGTACCAGATAATGAATTCTATACTCTCGTTGCTATTTTTACATTTTAATGTGCAATTCTGAATTGAACTATAATGGAAAATTACCCTAACCATTGCCCATGTCCTAATTTCACAAATATATGATTACGGACTCCTATTTTCCTGGCTAGTGAGATGTATTCCAGGGTGACAGCCTTACTCAGTGTTTATTTCCTCTGGTCAAAAGACCACTGCAAATGCATGCGGTCATTATAATAATTGCTTTCTTTATCCATGTATAAGAGGAATCTTTTGGAAGTGTGACTCCTAAAACAGGATCAGGGGACGGAGACGTTGAGTTCCTCTGACACCTGCATGAAGAAGTGTTCCTGGACAAAATGGAAAGAGCCACTGTGATGTTCCCATAGGACAATTCAGCGCATGTCCAGGTAGAAGGAAGTACTCTGGCGGTTCATTCTGAGTGTGTTTGCACTGTGCAACTGCAGTTCTCAGTGTCTTAAAGTGCCTTCAGTGTTCCACAGAATTCAGTGGGATGTCATTTTGGTTAAACATTTTATTGTTTGTTTATGTCCATACTGCCTGTAGCCGAAGCTCTCTGGGCAGTTTACCACAAAGCATAAAATGCAGATAAAAACATTAAAAGTTATTTAACATTAATTTAAAATAGCATAAAAGAACATTAAGAGACAAAGTGACAAAAGACCCTGCAAAGAATAAAAGAAAGGCTAATTGTGTCAGGTCCCTGAACGGTCTGCAAGGAGGGCTGTGTCAACCTGGCACCAAACGATGGCCAATTTGGCACCAGGCAGGCCGCGGCAGGGAGACTGTTGTGAAGACGGGAGCCACCACCAAAAGGACTGCCCCTAGTTGCCACCCTCCAAGCCTCTCGAGGGACTGGCATCCAGAGGAAGGCCCCAGAGGCAGAGTGTAGTGTCCAGATAGATCGGGGCTTGGAGCAGCACGCCAAAAGGTACTGCATTCCGAAGGCACACAGGTCAGGCTTCATAGGTTACAACCAGCACCTTAATTGGGCCTGGAAGCATACATCCATTCTGCAATCACATCACTGTTCTGTGCTGATTGGAGAATGGTTGAATGTTTTCCCTAGTACTGTACCCTAAATAAATGCATCTTGGCATTCAGGCAGGGTGATTCTAATCTTCATTCCAAAGGACAACCTGTGCTTGGAGGGGCGTCAACAGTCCTCCACCAAGAAGGGTGTGCTATTGAAAGGAATTGCCTGTTTAAAGGGCTATTCAGTCTGACTCCGAATTGAAGATGAAGAACCAAAGGAGAGGGGAAGAGAGGACCTGACGCTGCTCATAAAGTTAGCACCCTGGACAGCAGATGCAGTGAGATATAGGTCACCCAGCCGCATCCTTCCCCACTCTGGTGGGATGCATTGCATTTCTATTTAAATCAGGACAATTGTTTCCATGTTGACAGCAGGGCATCTCAATTAACATTTGCACATAAGCTGTTGGAGTGCCCAAATACGGATTGAAAAATCTGGGTCCTAGTCCTCACTCGGCCATAGAATCATAGAG